GCCGACGACCCCCGACCGGTAGGTGCCGACCAGCCGACCGGTCGGCGGGTCGGCAGCCGACTAGTCAAGGGCCACCAACCGTCGGCGTGTGCAACACTGCCTAGTTATGAAAAAAGTTCAAAAAAAAAAACCCTCATAACATCACGAAGGATATGGCATGCTAGATGAACCTCAGGTGGGTCTCGCAGTGCGACATTGAGCAGGTTTCGTGGGGTTCTGCAGCGGACATTGCGTGTCTATGGACAGGCGATGACAGGACTGATGAGGAGTAAGGGAGTTCAGGTGTTGAGGAATCCGGTCGTGCAACCTTTCAGCACAGCACACTGCAGGTGGCTCATGCAAGGTTGTGTTCTCCACCTCAGGCTGCTGTGTCTGTTTCTCATCTGGCGAGGATGGAGAAGGTCCAATTACGGGTGCAGCTGGAGCACGTCCAGTTGTCAATGTGGGACATGAACTGAGAGGAAGTGGTGGCTGATGGCATCCGGCATAGCCCACGCAGTTGACAGACATACTGTCTGTGACAGCTTTGTGAAAACATTGACGACACATGCATGTTGCTCGCATGCCAACAAGAAAGCAGGTTCACGCTTGCGGCTTCCATCAAATGCTCAAAGACAGGAACATCATCATGTAGAGGGGATGAGCATATCAAGCCGAAGTGAGGTTGGGGTGGGGGGTTCAAATGTAAGGAGCAGAAGACAATCAGTAGCACTTCTACAAAGGGTGGCTGCTAGTCGAGCAATCGCTGCACAGGTGGCTGCACCTCGTCTCTGGTGTACACAGAGTCCCACAGCACTGTAAAACTCATCACCACATTGTGGACAGCCGACTCAGAATGTGCTATTCCTGACTCGCATGCATTGGGAGCAATGCTAGTTGTGGGCATGGTGTCACGGTAGATCTTGACTCTCGCCGGGGTTGCAATGATCATACTGCTCATCTGCAGGCGAAGCTGCTATGTGTGTGTGTGCGTTTTTCTTTGACGGGAGGGGGGGGGATGGCGAGAGCGAGATCGTTGCCAGAGAGACATCACAACTTTGCATGCACATCATTGCAGATGAGCACGAGGATTCCATATCCAGTGCAGCTGGAGGAGGCTAAAAAATTAAAATGCAATTGAGGGTGCAAGAGGGGTATTTTCCGACCTTATATCCAAGCTTGACCGATGAAACGCTTCCTCCAAGCCTTCTGATAAAGAGGCTTCTCCATCCATGTCAATACTTGACCGTACAGCGTTTGAATATGATATCGATCCTGCTCCTTGCGATGCACCGTCTCTGTTCCTTCCACTCACACCGACTCCACCCCTTGGTCCCGATCCATATGCATCGTCACCACGGCCAATATCCTGAGCCACGTCCTGTTGCTGATTCTGCAAATGTCTCAATACCAAAGAACAGACAGTTTCTAGCAAGCTCAGATAAAGGACTCAAGAGCAGAAGCCAAGATTGCCTGGGAGATGATGGATACAACATAAAACCAGGACTAACAAGCAAACAGGAGACAAAGGCGGCCTACAGAAAAGACAAACAGTACTCAATTGTCAGAAGCCCCCAAAGGAGTAGGATTCACGCCAAACCATCTGCTGAGGGCAATCCTGTCAACAAGCCTCCCCTTTCAAGCCCCCCNGCCCTCCGCAAATGAATTTTTGGGCAATGGAGGACATAGCCCGACTTTCTATTAGTCAATGCTATGACGAGGGAGTAGTCCAGATGGTTGAGAATCTGTCTCTTATACACATCTAGATGTGTATAAGACTCCACACACACACACCCCGCTTCCCTCCAGGAAAGTCATCCAACCCCCAAATAAGCTCATACTAGCCACAGGTGGTAACAAAGACGAGAGGAGAACTTGGCGCAAACAGCATCAGTACAGAGCTCAAAGGTAACCCGAGGCAGTCCAATGACATATGGAAGGAGAGGGGAGGGAGAGAGAGTACGAGGGATTTCATGGTCTTTCGAGCTACTCACCTTGGTGGAAGACTTGGAGTTCACCGCAATGTCATCAGAGTCCCCATCCACCCATCTTCCCCCCTGATAAGACTGTCCTGATCCTCCTTCTTGGCCCGTCCGTCTTCCAGATGATGAGTGTGTCATCCTTGATTGTGCTGCCCGTTTCCTCATATCAACTGATTGAAATGCAATTGCCTGTACTCTTCCCGTCTGTTGGAACATATACATAATAAACAAAACTAAAACTTTGAGATGTATAGATATTTGTCGATATTCTGATAACGAATGGGGCCAGGGGACACGGTCATTGAATCATCCATCCAGCGAGCGGACTGAAAAAGGGTGGGCACCCAGGTAACCAGGGAGGTGGTAAAAAGGTAGTGCTGGTCTAATACTCAACAATTCTGAGGAATGCCTGCCCTATACCCCTTGTCCTACTGCAAGGTAAGGAGTTAGGCTTTGGCTTCCTGATTTGCCACACACTATTTTGTGCTTATTCACCTCTCCCCCTGCCACTTCTACTGTGTTCCGCCAGACACAATGTGTTGTATTGAATGCATTCACGTTTGCCTAAAAAAGCTTTTCGCAAAAGCTTCACCATTTGTTACGATAGGTGACTTCAAATAGAAAACACATTGTCTGACTGTATCATATTCGAATAGAATGCACATCTGTCCCATTTGAGTTTTTTCATCTAAAAATCTGCTAACTTCAAATAAAACATCGCATGCCGTTGTTTTTGAGAAACCGGACATCAGGCAATCACATTCTGTCAAAGCATAATGTGTGACTCTCTCTCTCTCTCTCTCTCTCTCTCTCTCTCTCTCTCTCTCTCTCTCTCTCCAGCATGCACACACGCGCGATCATTCGCTCTTACCCTTTGACAATCTCATATGCGTGCATGATCTGAGTGCATGTGATGTCACAGCATTCTAGGGGACTCGAAGCATCATCGAAGGGCCACACTTCTGCGAGTGCGGTCGCCACATTTCTAAAAACTGGTAAAATCAATGAAATGCAGCGAAAGCAAGGGGCCACAACTTGTGATTTCACCATCATCCCTCATATCTGTGTGGTTGAAGGCGAAACACTCATGACCTTCCCACAAAAAAACACATTTTGCGTTACGACAAGTGCCCGCCGTAAGTCGTATATACGTTGTGGAGGAATGTTACACAGTACCACACACGTAATTACTAATTAGAGAAAAAACTTTTCCAAAGTTCAAATAACATATCGACCTAAGCCAAGACTAGAACACACAGCGTAGTGGAACACAGATCAGTTACGGAACACACAGCGTAGAGGAACACAGATCCAGCCAGAAATCATACCAGAACAACTCTCATCCAGCTCCAGGCCACTCACCAGGCTTGCATCTTCACTGAAGCATGAGAAAATGAGACCAACGAAACCTTCATCAAGCATCTGATACATCCCCTGTGTCCGCACATCTGCAGGGATCACAGATCAGTTATGGAAAGAACGCATCGATCAGAAGAATTCTTCCTCAAGCTCCTCGTCTTGCTTTTTTCTTTATAGCATTCTTCACTCCTCTCTCTCTTCTTCTCTTCAACTCTTCATTCCCCTCCTCATCCCCGTGCTGCTGCTGCTGCTGATCATGACCATGATGCTTCCCCCCCCCCTCACTGCCACCCCCGCTTCAAGCCCCCGCTTTCCTTGTCGTCCTCATCATCGCTATCTCTGTGATGGTCCTTTTAGTCAATCATCATTAGGATCGTGGACATCACCTTTCTGATACTTGCCAACATTTTGCTTCATTGAAGTTCATTCTCATTTGCCGCTGGCATCATCACCACCACCATTCCCATAACCAACACTGCCAGAATGCATAAGGGAGGCCCAGGAACCTAACTTCCACAAACATGTACTTAGGATTGTTGCCCATCTGCCACATCACACATTCTTGCAGAGCTCGGAAAAAAAAAAAAAAAAAAAAACTTAAAAAAAGTTCTCACGGGCAAGGCTCCCTCGCAAAAGCATTATGAATTCCTCCTCTTGAAGGTGCGAGGAATGACATGGCGGAAGTGCAACCAACCAACACTCGACAACAAATTTGGCAGAACCCTGGAAACTGGCTCTAGATGAGGGAATTCGAGAGATGCAAGAACAACGGAGACGAGAGAGAGGGATGGACAAGGGAATTAGAAAGATGCAAAACAGATGGAGAGGAATGGAAAGCAGAGGATGGTCATTACATCGGACAATGACCCAGCTTGTACTTGATCACAGACCAAGACCAGATGCAGGTCTGTGGCCTCTGGCTGCAGTGGCTACTAGCCTTTCAATGGCACCAATTGCCCGGGAACTTGCAGGCAAAAGGCAGAAACATTGCGAGGAACGCCCGGACAAAGTATATACACATACATTCATTCATAAAAACAAGACATACAAAACCATGAAAAAAAAAGAAACCAGACATGAATCCTGCAGGAAATTCTGCCACAACCACATATGCAGCTTGCCCAGCCTGCTTCGTCAAACTACACAGACTCCTGGAGACTCACTCTATTAGACTTGCTCAGCCGACCCCAAGCCTGCTTTGACTCGTAGACTCCTGGAGACTCACTCTATTGGACTTGCTCAGCCCACCTCAAGCCTGCTTTGACTCATAGACTCCAGGAGACTCACTCTATTAGACTTGCTCAGCCCACCTCATACCTGCTTTGACAAGAGGTGAATTGCCAAGTCCTAGGCCTCGTGGAGTGCTATGTGCAGAGAATGAAACACATTTCACATAAAGACTGGATCGGCCGTGATGTAGAGTAGGCCTTTCACTAACGTTCTTCGTCATCCCTTTTTAATATTTGTAACCCATGTTGCTATACTGAAACAGTGAAATGAGGACTATACTTTTTTACACATCCAGCTGTGCTCTTCATGCTCATGATCCTCAGTCACAACAGTACAGCAAGGGTGTGCTGCTGCCTTGCCCAAAGGTCATGATATACCAACAAGCGTGGCTCAGTTTTGGTACACCCATGAACAGATTGAATTGAAATACAGACCCGAGTTCGAATCCAGAGGCAACCACATAACCAACCACAGAACCGCGTTCGAATCCAGAAAAGGCTTAGTTTTATTCAAAACGGAGTTGGCAGACAAGTTGAGATAACCAAATACTGACCAAATACAGACCCGAGTTTGAATACACATGCAACCAGATAACCAGAACACAATCATTCTGAATTACCTGGGTCCTGTCAGTTTAATGATGATTTCTCAACACTGTCGTTCTTTGCCAAAAAAAAAAAAAAAAAAAAAAAAAAGGTACTGATAATTTGTGATAATATAAAAACATTATATAATTTCATATAAGTTGTATAACCCATAATACCCCCCCATATGCTTAAGAGGTGAATAGATAATCCACCACGGCATATGGAAACGACGGCTGTTGTGGACACATCCCCAACACACTTTTGTGTACATTCAGTCACCAGAGTACTGATGCTGGCACGGCCTAAGAGGATGAAATTGGCTATGTACAATGTAGGGCAATACATGTGACGCAGATGCTGCAGCAGTCCAAAGGGCAGAGGACAACATGACAAGACAGCTACCCCGAAAAAAAAAATTCAATCTAACCAGAGCAGATGGATTGACAAGACAGGACACAACACAGACAGACGCAAGACAAGGATAACCACTGATTGGGAAAGAGCATACCAACGTGTGAGGGAAGAACTGTGATGTGAGGATGTGAATGATACCAGCCAATGACACGTGTCCGCCTCCCTGTAACTGCTGTCAATCTGTGTTCCGTTGTCAAGGAGGAGGTTTCATATCCATATCCAGAATCTGATCCACAATATATAAGTCAAGTGTGTAACATCAGAAAAGGCTTACTTCTTTTGGAATTTTAAAATTTATTCAAAACGGAGTTGGCAGCAGAAAAGGAGGAGGTTTCTTATCCAAAATGTGACCCACAATTTGTTTATTAAGCCAAGGACGCTGGACCCACAATTTGGCAGCAGAAAAGGAGGAGGTTTCTTACCCGAAATGTGACCCACAATTTGTTTATTAAGGCAAGTGTGTAACATCAGAAAACACTTAGTTTTATTCAAAACGGAGTTGACAGCAGAGAAGTTACACCAGTCCACATGTAAGGTCAGAAAAGAGTCAAATGAGAATTTATTCCAAGTGGAGTTGAGCTCCACCAGACCGCACACTTATGGAAGTCTGCATGACGTTTCCATTTGGCTCCAAATCAGTTGAGTTCCACCAGACCACACATATGTAGTGTAGCGTGAAGTCCGCAAGATGTTTGCATTTGGCCCCACATCGCACAAAAAGATGTGCTCCGCTCTCGCTTTGCAAGCCACCAAGGACTCAAGGAAGCTTGATAAGCATACCTGCAGTTCACGCTACACTCTTGTGATCTAGTATAGCCAGGACAGGCTTCAAGGAGCTATTGGACACAGTCAGAGATATGGAAAGATGCCAAAGAGAAGTAGGCAAAGGAGGACAAGAGATGTCCAAGGTGGACAGGTGACAGTAGGAGAAGAGAAGACCAAGTGGAGAGTGGACACAGAGAGGAGGGAGAGTGGAGGAAGAGAAGAAAGAGGAGAGGAAGAAGAGAAAATTAAGAAAGAGGGGAGAGGAAGGAGGCAGACAAAGGAGGAGGGAGGAGGAGGGGGGGAAAGGAGGGAGGAGGAGTAGGGAGGGAAAGGAGGCAGGAGGAGGAGGGAAAGGGAGGAAAGGACAGAAAAGAGGGAGAGGAGGGAGAGGAGGAGAGAAGGGGGACAGGAGGAGAGAAGAGGGACAGGAGGGAGAGAAGAGGGAAAGAGGAGGAGGGAAAGAGGGGGAAAAGGTGGAAGAGGGAAGAGAGAGAGGGAGGCAAGACAGAAGAGAGGGCGTGACAGCAGAGAGTGGAGGGAGAGCAGAAAGTGAGCAATGGAGCAAGGGGTCAAATGAGAACAGGAGTCAGACAGAAGCTCTCTGAACCCTGGCAGAAATCAGTCAGCAAAATTTTGAACAAACTGGCGGAAAAACTAGGAGTAGCTGATAGATATAGACAGGCCAAGAAGGCAACGGATGATAAATCCATAAAGGAGAAAGAGATCAACAGGAGATCTTCGTCGTTGCATGCACTGCTTGGTCAGGAGCAATGCCGGCAAGCATGAAGACCCAAGCATAAAATCCAGGTTCAGAGTCTTCAGACTGAATAAGAGAATCGGCGTACGCATGCAAGACATTCACAGCAACTCCATTTCATGCGTTCTCATTTCAGTGATGCACGCACACAAACACGCCCAAAACCAAGGTGAAGAATTCCCTCACATAGACCCCGTAAAGTCTGCTAGACTGACTCTGAGAGCATGCACTTGGACACATGTCTGGCCTCGTACAGATCAAGCACCTGGCCATATACAAGTCCAGGTGCATTCTGACAGGCGAATTCGCCACCTTGGAAGTAACCAGAATGCGATCAACAAACAAACGTAAAACGAAGCATCTTTGGAAGATGGAAGTTAGGATATCTCAGCCTCCGCTGACGCTGCAGCTAACTGCTCCGGATTTGTCTCCACACGGTCCTTCCGCCTGTCTGATCTTGTCTGAGGTGCAACCGCCCAAACATGTGCCACTGCAGTTCTGTCCTCCGGATACTGTGCAACAGAAATTAAGACCAAGAGCGAACATGGAACAATCCAGGATCAGATAAAGAAAGAATCCGGGTTTCACAACTGCCAATCTACTCATTCCCATTCCTGTTTTTTTTTTTGTTTTTTTTGTTTTTTCCCAGTTACTGCTACCAGAGTCAAAAGCCACTAAAGTCAAAAGCCACAAACAGAGCAAAGCTTTGCCTACACACGCAGAGCTGTGAGGGAAGGAGCAGAGGCAGGGAAACCATAAGGAAGGGGGTAAGGAAAAAGGGGAGTAAGGAAGCGAGATAATCTCAGGTGAGGGAGGTTCGATAGGACATCCGCCAGGAGGAATATACCCTTTTCCTCTTCCCTCTCCCCTAAGAGGGATAGTGGCTTGCTCTCATGCGAGCAAAGCGGCCAGCATGTTGGACACGCCCGTGATTTCTGTGATCTGGGTGAGACTGTAGGCAAGCTGTGTGCACTGCATGTGAGGTTGCTCCACCATAAGCCTCGACCTCCCAGTTCTCACCCTTCAAGCTTCCAAATTATTCTGGCTCAGTGAGGCTCAGTGAGGCTCCTCCGGTCATCCATTCTGATTATTATAACACAGGCACAAATAGCCCATGCAACCACGAGTTCGTACTCAGCTCCTTAATTTTCCTATCATAGATCAAGACAGATCAACGGCCCAAGACGCCAAATGAAGGTACGCGGGACATGCAGGTACGCGGGGATATCTGCTTCAGATCATCCATTCTGATTATTATAACACACGCACAATAGCCCATGCAACCACGAGTTCGTACTCAGCTCCTTAATTCTTATCATATAGATCAGACAGATCAACGGCCCAAAACGCCAAATGCAGGTGAGCGGGATATCTGCTTCAGATCATCCATTCTGATTATTATAACACAGGCACAACAGCCCATGCAACCACGAGTTCATACTCAGCTCCTTACTTCTGATCATACCGAAGAAGGATACACCGGAGACTCGTTCTCCGCGGAGCCGCTATCAAGGAGCTTGTAGAATGACTTAAGAAGTATGGATTTGTAAGATGCACTTACAAAGGTTATATCCTTCCTATGCCAATAAGAATTATGATCCCGATGGACCACGCAGATATACTTGCATTTTACAATGCAAAAAGATCAGACAGATCAACGTCCCAAGACACCAAATGCAGGTAAGTGGGATATCTGCCTATGTGTCGGATAGAGGCCCGTCGACGGATTGAACCATTCAGCGCCCACTGGGCCCACAGCCTTAGCGCTTGGCTATAGAGTAGCAAAACATTCAACCAGTCATGCTCTTGAAATACCTAAACCACAGCCCTGTCTCTTATACACATCTAGATGTGTATAAGAGACAGTCAGCGCCCACTGGGCCCACAGCCTTAGCGCTTGGCTATAGAGTAGCAAAACATTCAACCAGTCATGCTCTTGAAATACCTAAACCACAGCCTCTCCTCGGGTGCTAGTGCTGCCTGCTCTTACCAGCAGCACTAGCACTGCAGGGGGTGTTATTTAAAACAAAAAAAAAAAAAAAAAAAGAAACAACCCTACACCAGCCCTGTCAGATGCAGCCGCTCAGAACAGATGGAGAGGAACTTGAACAGAAGCAAACGGGGGCCCACGCTCAGAACTAAAAATGATCCGATCGGCGTAAGTGTCAGTTTTTACAGTCGTGAGGGTACAAAGGCCCTTTCAAATCCCAGCATGGAGGTGGGGTTACTGCCAAGAAAAGGCTAGAAAAAGCCAACCCACACACATAGCGAGCGAGAGAGAGAGAGAAAGAGAGGGGTTGATGGAAGGCCAGTGACTAGGTAGTTCTGGCTCTCAAAGGGTATGATGGCTTTCTCACCCGTGTCCTGAAACTTTTTCTTTGTGATTTAGCTATAATTATTAATTTGAGAGTATATTCATAACGTATTTGGTTAGGAAGAGATCTCTATCTTGACAAACCGCTTTATATCGCATTGCATTTTAATTCGTAATTTAGCTACGCGCAATCTACATTTTGATCGCTAATGATTTGATTAAAGTTGATTTGACATATTGCTAAACTTCTTTTCTGTCAAATCCCGCTATACAATCACAAAATGGAAGTTGGGTTGGTTTTGGGTAAGAGTTGGGGGGAAGGGACCATTGGTGAGCAAAATGTAATTAGAGTGATCAGCACTTAGACAGACTGTCGAAGTTTGACTCTCTGATGATTTGGCAACAGTACCAAAAAGGTTTTCAGAGCCATGTCTTCTTTTCTTTTCTTTTCTTTTCTTTTCTTTTCATGTTTTAATTTGGACCAGTTCTCGATTTATGTGTGTCATCCTTGAAAGCGCAGGGGCCATGCTAGTTCTTCTCTTTCTCTGTATCGTTCCAATTTTAACGGATGTCCTGAAAAGGACAGAGCCATGTGTGCTCCACGGAGTTTGTCCACAAAAGGTAAAAGGGGACTAAATGGGAAAGAAAAGAGGGCCAGGGCGAGTGGAGGGGAGGGGAGGGGAGGGGAGGGGAGGGGAGGATGGAGAAGGCAAACAGAGAGTGGATCTTATGAAAAAATTGTTACAGTATCGACTCTCTCAATGCACACAAGGGAAAGATCAGACAGAGAAAAGAACCTTTAGAGGGAACAGCACAGAAATGAATCAACCTCCAGATCAATACACATTTAACTCGGGGGAAAAAAAAAAAAAAAAAAAAAGACAACGACAGTTTATGTACCAAACAATAACCAGGACAGAATAATATTCTTTCACAATCTGAACAGCATGATTCCCAGCCACAGGCATGTCATTCGCATAGGAGATCGGAACGAGTACCTAGACACAGATTTGAACCACATCTCCCCTGCTTCAGAAGCGAGTCACATCTTCTTGGCTAATTAAAAAAAAAAAACAAATTGTATCATCGACCAGAAAAACATGGATGACCCTCTCAGAACCCTTTTCAACCCCCCCCCCCCCCGAAAAAACATGCATGGGCCCCTAAGAACCCTTTAAACCCGGACTAAAACCTTTTCGTGCCTTGCTAACCCGAATTGTCTCCGGAAGGTTTAGGTCCTTCATCTCGGAAGGTTTATTGTCACAAGAATATCAGAGCGCAAAATCCAAAAAAAAAAAAAGAAAAAGAAAGAAAACAAGGAAAAAATGAACTCGTTTTTTATCTTCTTCCTTACAACTCCCCCTGTTCAGAACCTCTTGCATACAAGGCCGCCCACGTGGGTGTAGGTTGAGCGGCGGCTGCCCCCCCGCCCCCCGTGTGTCATATCTAAACAACAGGAGTCCTTTCTCAAGAATAGATTTCTTCCTTGCCTCAGAATCCTTATTAGGGGCAATCAAAAACTGCCACATAGTATCCACATCCTACCACAGCGGCTTAAGACCACAAGGTTAAGATCCTCACCATGAATTTGAAGCAAATTGGAATGGTGGCCAAAGGTTTGTACCGCTTCCAAAACTCCCTCCAAGGCTCCCAAGTTTTCCGTAAGGTTCATCTCTCAATTGTCACAAAAAATATACAACTTTTCATCTATAGCCTTCCTGGAGGCTATAGATCAAAACTGGAGGCTATAGATCAAAATAGCAAAACTGTGGCAGCAGAATCCAGAGAGTTCGTGGGTTAGGAGAAAGAAAGTCCGCTTTTCAGGTTCACTCCCTCTCATGCACCATCCCTTCTGCCATGGCTAGTTAAATTGTTCCACTTTTTCAGGTTCACTCCCTCTTCATGCACTATCCCTTCTCTGCGCGGCCCCCTCCACAACCTTTCCGCTCAATCCCTTCCGTTGGCCGTCATAGTAGTCTTCTATTTCCATAAAGCAATTCTCTTTCACCTTCCTCTCTCGCCACCCTTATTTGCCTTCCTGCTCTTCATCCCCCTCTCCTTCCCCCTCCCTCCCTCCCTCTCTCTCTCTCTCTCTCTCTCTCTCTCTCTCTCACACACACACACACACACACACACACACACTCACACACGCACACATTCGCACGCACATACCCATGGTGATGGAGAGGTGCAACTCTCTCTCTCTCTCTCTCTCTCTCTCTCTCTCTCTCGCGCGCGCGCGCGCGTGCGTGCTCGTGCTCGTGCTCGCCGCTCGTCTCTAATGCTGCCTGGGTATCACGGATCTATGAAATGTCTTTATATCATCCAGAAAATGCACGGAGAGCATCAACGATAGCAGGAAGGGAAGCAGGTAGTGAGGGGAAAGAGAGGTCGGACTCTCGCCTCTTTCCCTCTGCCGCGTCACCTTCTTTCGGCAGGCACAACGAGAACATCGACAAAGCCATGGTAAAAATAAAATATTACTAAAACAGAGGATTCATTGCGAAGGTGGGACGTAGGGTGCGCCCTCCCTTGGGCTCCGATTTACCCGCCAAACCCGCCTTAGGTATGCTTCCGCGAATTGATGCGTGTTTCTTTTTTCCAAAAATAGAAAAGGAGAAAAAAATAAAAATAAAAAAGCAGAAAAGAACCAAGCTGCCTGGCTGTTCTGGCCCAGTAATAAACACCCTCCATGAATGTTCCACATAAATAGTCTCAAGCCTGTATAACAAATCACGTACTATATATTTGTAACCCTGTGCAAAAATTCAAAAAAAAATAAAAAATTGTGGAAAACAGGTGTTGAAAGCAGGAGGGAAAGATAGGGAAGGATAGGAATGGACAAAATGCAAAACCCAAGTGCTGCGCCACGATGACCCCACTGACAGACGCGTTTCTTGAGGGGGTAGGGGAGAGGGAGGACGGGGGCAGGGAGGACGGGGCAGGGAGGACGGGGGCAGGGAGGACGGGGGAAGGGGGGAAAGGGAGACGAACGAAAATAAATCTTATTTGGCACATTTAGTATCATTTACCAAGGGCAAAATTATAACTCTAATGAGTGGCTGAGAGCGGAACTGCCCACCCGCCTGATCCGACTGCGGGGCTGCCAAAAGCGGTCGGGGTCTGGCAACGTCCTCGTCGGGATCTTACACCCACCGTACCCAACACTCTTCGTCAGGATCTCGCTTATTCTCGATGGGACAGAGCAACCACTGATAATGGGGATGGCCATAAATAAATACAAATAAAAAAAAAGTAAATGGCGACATAACTAGATAAAATAAAAAATATATAATCTCTATAACACGAAAAAGTAGAATAACAATAGTTTAAACAATTCAAGCATAACACTAAAAAGTAAAATAATACAGTAATAGTCTAAAATTGTTTAAACAATTTAAGTAAGACAGAGATAAACAAGAGGACAGCAGGCCAGAATGATGAGTCCCATGGAGAGCCAGAAAGCAAAACATGAAAAAAAAATAGTTGCACCTGCAATCTGTATAACAGCGTCCTTTTTTTTTGCGTTCTTTTTTTAATATATAACGTCCTTAAGCGGCAACGCGGCGATGCAATTTGTCATTCATAGTAATAACGTGAGGGCCAACAAAAGATCTGTAAAGCCATCCTCACAATAGGACTTGCCTGGATGGATCTACCCGTGATTACTGTCAGATTCAGTAAAAAAAGTCGTATAAGATGTCACATCGCCGCTGAGGTGCGACGGTCTTCCTCAGGCTGCAGAGACCAACCATTCCATCATCCTCGACTTCCTGCCCGGGAAAACTGCAAGTCGACAAATATGCCTATGGCAGACTGTTCGGTCGAACTTTCACCCCAACTCTCACAAACTCTTCAGGAGACTGGATCCTGGACAGATCGCAAGTGAATCTCGTTAATTTTTACTATCTTTTCGTTTTTTTTTTTTTTTAATATTTTCGTAGTTTTCGCCATTATTACCATTACTATTAATGTTATTAACTTTTAATAATCCTACCC